TTCCCAAATTAAAATCGCCAGCAATTAAGATGTTAGTGGAATTATAAATATCAAACACACTATTTTTTCTGTGTTTCAATGTCCTTTTTTATTGTGTCATATTCATTACTCAGAAAGCTTAATGATTGATCAAAAACAGAAATTTGGTTTTTAATTTCCAATAATTGATTATTGAGAGCAAAGCGTAATTCATCCCGTATAATTTTACGAATACTGTCGGCGGAATTACATGAGCAGTTAGTCAAGAACTTTGACTTAGTGCTTAAAGTAACGTTTTCATATACCTGAGCATTACTGAGAGTGGAAGTAGGATGGATCGGTGTGTTAGTGTTATCTCTCTTAGGTTCCTTACGACGGCACGACGGACATATCCACATGGGCTTAAATTCGCTAGAGAAAGTATCAAATTTAGTAGTCGATATATTGAGGCAACCATAATGATACTTATCAAGACATCGCGAGCAATGCATTGCATCATCTTCTTTTAAATCGTGCGTACAACCAGAACATTTGCTTAAAGGCATTTTTGCTAATTATAATACTGTAATTCACAACAAAAACATATAAATATGTTGTAGCCGTGGCTGGGGTTCGAACTCGTTTTCGACGCTGGTTTACGCCGACTTGTAATCGCAAGACCAAGAGATCGCTAAATCTGTATGCGAATTTTTCGAGTATATGGTGCTAGTGATCCCCAGCTGTTAGAAGGTCAACGATGGAAAACAAAGAACGACAACGTTAACAGCTCACGAGTTGTGTTCACCGCCGCATTACACTAATTAATTGTATTTAATTTAGTCTTATCGCATCCTTATTTGTTATAATTCGAATTCAAAACTGTTCACTGTTCTATAATTTTTCACTGTTGAACGATAAAGATGACAAATATCCATGAAAACTAAACACTAATCACACTTGTACTGAAAAGTTTTAAATTCCGTAATAACCACTGACCAACTTGGATTTATCGGTAGATAACGATTGTCCTTTGATTAATTTAAATCAAAACTGTAGTAAATTCACTAATATAGCACTTCGGGAATTATTTTTAAAAGGTTTTATTTTACGGAGACGACTTGATACACTGTGCTGCCGCCAACGGCCGGTGACGTATCGTTATATATATTTCTATTATAATATGTTTGTGAATAATTAAATATTATCTTAAATCCAAATATCTTTACAGATTTCGTAGTTTATCATAAGTGTTTTCATATAGTGAGCACATGAATCTTAGCCCAAGTATACATAACCACACGACATACGAAACTTTTCCTGATTTTTATTTAATACATTAATACTATAATGTATGAACATTTATAAAGTAAAATATATAAATATAATAGAAGTTTAATAGATGCTTATGATCTACGATATAATATAGCTATCTATAAGTAACCTCATTTGCATAAATTTATAAATATCACAAAATAATTCTGATATATTTATATTGAGAAAAGAATTACGACACGGAAACCGTTTTAGTATAGTAAATAATGAAGTTTTTCTAGGACTACAATTAAGGTTTATTTTATTTCCCCATGAGTGTATTTTAGTAAAGAAACATAATATATTTCGCTTTTTCAGAAGGCTTGGATGTGCCAATATAAACACAGCATAAGTGCACTTTTAGTGTGACAAAAAACTGTATTAGGTTACATAACTTATTGTTCTGTTAAGTTCTGAAACCACTTTTATTCATAATGGATATACAATTTAGAATAAAGTGATTTTTATCATCGCCAGTATGTCTAGTTTTTAATATCCTAATTTAGCAGATATTTCAGTAGGGATCATGGTTTTGAGTCACTATGAAGTGGCTTTTCTTAAAAAAAATCTGTCTTGACAGTTTTTGCTATTAACTACATTTGATAACAGCAAAGGATGCTAGAAAACTCAGTTTTACTTATAAAAGTATATTTAACTAACAATTAATACTTATATTTAACTACTTGCTAATGAGGTGTCTTTAAGTCAGCGATTGACTCCAGACTGAATTTGTGTCATAACCTATTTTCCATTCCCACCGAAGCGATGGTGCAAGGCGTGCGGTGTCGGCTTCACTTTCCCATTCCCAACGATGGCTCAGAAACAGCATTTGGTACTTTACACCGTTATTATACTGTAAACTTATTTCCTTATGTATATTAAAAAAATGGATGACTTCATTTATTTGTGATTATTATAGTGAAAATTTTAACTAAGCTGACTTTACTTCAACTTATAAAGATATATTCCGAATTGTTGTCGTAATTTGTTTGTTTGGTTTATAAGGATTTATTTAAATGACGTTGCCCCGAATAAATTTAAACTTCTTCGTTAAATACGGATGAAAACCAATCTGTGTTTGAATCCATTGTCAATCAATCTCAGATTTTGGTGTCGGGATTGTCGGATCAAATTGTTTCCATTTACTTTAGTTCTGTGTACATAAATATATATGCTTTTGACTTATATAAAACTAAAATATAATAAAATAATTCTACATTTATTTAAAAATAAGTAAAAGGTTGGTATTTTTTATACTTTAAATAGGTGGTACTACAAGTACCTATAATGAAAGATTTTATAGCAGCCTGGTAATTGGCTTTCGACGAAGTTTCTGAAAAGCTACTTGACAACCCAAAGGCATTTTAGAATAAATTAGAATTTTAAATTCTCTGCTCTGATGATTAGTCCGTAACAGAAAGAAAGATTGTAGTGGTAAGTAATTACCAAATATTAATAAACAAAGGTAAAACAAAGTATTTATTTATTAAAAATGAAACTTTTTCCAAAGTTTTTGGTAATTTAAGAAAGGAGAATACATTAATAAAATTTTACCAAAGTCCTGTGACAAATCTAAAATTTTAATGAACATCTGTCGCAACTATTAAAGAATCATCATTGAAAAGTTTCTCATTTAAATAATTATTTAAGGACAAACAAAAAGAGAAACAAAAAAAAAACAAAATTTATTATTCATAAAATTAAACAAGATCTAAACTTTCAGCAACAAAATTAATTGATTCTTAATGAATCTTTACTTGATATTTGAAACAGTTTTTTATGAAGGGATTGAATAAATTATATTACCTTTATTTAATTGTAGTAATAATAGTGTACTAGTAAATTTTTTACGTCAGAAAGGTGGGAAACTTCTTCTAAAGAAAGGCTACTTCACACCGATCTTCTGTGGTGGTACTTCCCCCGTCGAGCCAGTCCGTGTTTGAGCTGCAGTAACTTAACCAAAGATAGGCTCTAACTTGAAAAAAGTTACATAAATTTTATAAATACTTCTTCAATTTTACAGATAAATAGAAGTAAATATGTTGTAGCACAAATCCAAGAACATATGAACCTAATGATACATTTCAGAGTCTTAAAAGAAAATGTAAATGTGTACGAAACATTTTTTTTTAAACATGACAGGGTTACAAATAGCATACAAAAAAATGACGATGTCATGTCTAACAAACTGGCTTACGAAACATCACTCTAATGAGGAAAGCTAAGATAGAATGTACGAAGGTTGTGAATAAAACATTTTTGTCAACGTTCAAGTTATAAATGATTCCCACATATCTTCCTAATTTGATTACCACTTGTTAGTTTGAGAATAGATCATGTTTGTACCCTTCATTATTATTTTGTAAATATAAATGACCAAGTATGTATTGCTTTTGAATTTTTAAATTGCCTTTTGTATATGATTTTTGTGACGTTGATTGTCCTGTAGCCAATATATCGTAGCATTTTATAATATCAAAATGTATAAATTCAAAGATTTGCTCTCTGGAGATGAAACAAACCATGACAAATAATTTTAAAGATGACTTGAGACTTGTAGACTATAAAAGACGCATTGATCATTCTTTTACCGATTATTGAAAGAATAATATCGTAGTTAAATGAAAACAACTGCTGTAATAAAGAGTGATTACAGAAAAAATACAATTAAACAATATTTAACAAATCAAAACGACCTTATTTATGGTGACAGCTCTAGAAAAGCCTTCCAATTAGTCAACAGAGTACAACGTAGGCATTATCCATCTTCAGTGATGGCTTGTTAGGCTGCTATTTATAAATGAATGTTTCTGAAACATATTTTTGGGTAAAAGGTGTCAAATAAACCGCACCAATATATCAATATACATATTTTTGTTGAGAACTTAGTTAAGACATGTAACAACGACATTTTCAATAACAAACAATGGTCCTTTAAAATATTAATAAATTAAAATAAACATTTTCTTAAATCACAATCAAAATTAATACCCACAGTTACTTATTGAACTTACTTATAACGATAAATTGAGACATATCCAAATTTCAAATATAAGAGCACTTAAAGGCAATTATTTCTCGTGGACTTTCAACAATTCTTGTGAATTCTTCTGAAGGGCTTGTTATTTCGCATGTAGATACATTATTAGAATAAATTGGATTGTAACCTTGTAGTACAGAAGATTTCATTCATTTTTGAATTGAGTTTTCACGTAAGTTATTCATATAAATAGTTTTGTAAATGTGCCATTCAGTACTATTTATAAAGATAAACTCTCATAATATTAGGTATAATTCAACCTTGAGCAACATTAACAATGATGTATGTCTGTTTATAAATGTACTAAATTATATGAAAAACCTTGATTTTAGTATCTATAATAAGCAAAACTATTTTAAATAAATATTATGTAAATTAGATAAAATAACAATTACGTAGCCCCTTGTAGACGGAAACGGGGACATGTTACAATTATATTAGTGCCCATAAATCTACGATAGGACCTACGAAAATTAGGCCGTTTAAGTGGTCAGACAGTGTCATTTGAAATGGAGGATACAATAAAATTACTTTCATACCTCTTTTTTATAGTCCTAGATCCCAGGATTTCCAGACGTCACGTATTTTCTGACTAATGAAATGTAGACGTCTGGTAGTCCTGGGATCTTAGACTATAAGCTTTTTACATTAAAATTGTATCTTGATAGTAATATTTGGTGTATTGTTAAAGGTCTCCCCAACGACTTGGCAGTATACTGGCATCAGTATCCTTACAGTCTTGGACTAGTCTTCTGTAAACTACGAGCATATATATCTGAGGCGTAAGTATTGTCTAGTGATCTAAGAATTTCGCTAGTATTCATTGAAATAAGACTAATGTTTTTCGGATATACTACGCGTTTTTAATGATTTTAACAACATACTCTCGACGTTTCGGTTACTTTGCAGTAACGTTAATCACGGGTAAACGAGATGTAAATGTTCATTCTCATTCTTATGTAATTTTATTTCAAGTCCTATCTATACAGATTTTACATTCCCGTCTGCGTGTTTGTTGTTTATTATGAAGTTATAAAGGCATTTAAAATAAATAACATTATCTACTTTTATCTTTCTTTAGCTTTCTGAACAATAATAATAATAATAATAATTAAATATTTTTATCCAATTAAACACCCCGCTCTTTTCTTCATGACATTATCAGAACACATAAAGCGATAAAAATTGTACATATATTTCAGACGGAATTTGTAAGAGTCTAAGCTCTGAACATTCTTATTTGTATTATACCTTATCCTGGTAAGTTATTTCTTTATATCTATTTCTATATAATATTTGAAACATACGTAAAAGTTAATATAAGTCATTTGTCGTAGACAAATTGGAACGTTGTTGATTAAGACTGTGTCTACATTTTTAAATTTATGAATTTTAAAGAGGGTCTTATTACATAATAACATAAATCGAAGTTGCACATTGTGTAAAAATCATATTGTTATTATAAATAAATGTACATTTTTTTCATATTTAATATTAGTAGCATTAGAATTGTTTGTTTGTATTGTTTAGATAAAATGAATACGACAAACGCTTTAAAGACAATCTTAAGTCATTAATGGTTAAATACAAAATAAGAAGAACTATAATTAATATTTAAAGATTATTTTGAGAACATTTTACTATCCACTTAAAAGTATATAATACAGTAGCTACATTTTATTAATTTCCGTCCGACTGCCTCTTTGTTAGCGCGAACGTGCGGTAACAAAAAAGGCCGGCACTATAGAGATTTTTATTGCCTTTCGGACCAGTGGAGGTGAGTGAAGGATTCTGAATTATCAGTCACATTGACATACTGGAATTGGAATAAGATGTATGAGGTGACAAGTGTTCGAGTGAGGTCTAGAACAATTATAAATCAATGTATCTGGACTGGTGATTTGTTCTTTGAAGCAGTCATTCAAAAGTATTCTATAGGCTGTGATTTGTTATAAGTATTTTGAAATTTTATATGTTCAATTTTGACATATTCATATAATTTTAATTTAAAGATTAAGAATTATATATTGGTGGGAACTCTATATAAAGGTTTTGGGACAAAATTCGTTAATAAGAGGTATGTAAACTTTTCTTGATAGATGAAAATTCGTTATAAAAAGGTTGTTCACAAATGTTCGCGAAGTAAAGATATATTTTATATTGACTCTTATGGGCAATGCAAGGGGATTACAAAAGATTTGTTAAATCGATGAAGTCGTTATATTTAGGTACGTTATATTCAGGTTGCACTGAAAGAGACATATTTAAAATAGAGGAAAGTCATCGCTGAAATTGGTTTGGTCCATAATAAATATTAATCGGAACACCAACATTATTCTTAGAGACTAATTTCAAATAACTAACTGTAATACTTTTTATTGTGTTAATTTATTTATTGGATTTCGAAATATAATAATAGCTACATATTAGATTAATGATTAATTATTTATATATATTATATACAATATTATATTTTATATACAAGGACTTGTTTTAACTCTTCGATATTTTGAACTAAACGTGACCAGTTCAATACTGAATTAAAAAGTATTTTGCACCCTTGAATACGATCAGAATATTAAATATACAATATTAAATTAGTCGTTAGTTTTATTGCTATTAATATTGATCGAATTTAAACTTCTTATTTCTAATAAAAAAATACTAATATTCAACTAAATGTCTAAATAAAAAGGTATATATAAGTAGATTTTTTTAATGCATACAATAGCAAGCAAAATGTTTTCATGTTTAATCCAATTGTTCTTCTTGAGATCCATTTAAATTTAAAACTATCACTTAATATCAGTAATGAAGAAATATAATAAGTTTTACTTAATTTTATTTGTTTCACCACCCGAACTTTGTTTATGTTAGCAACGCTATTAAGTTTACTACGAACTTTTTTCTGGAACAATCCCCCATGCAATAATATGTACTACTAATCTCTCAGATTCTGTCGTCCTTCCTGTTGGCGGAATATGTCGCCTTGAGATATTAAATATAAGACACTCGACAAATATTTGAAAACAGCGTAATCCTGAACGAAACAGCTTTGTAGCTAAGTCCTATGTCATACAAAGATTCTATTTCTGTTGATGTATACGTACGTGCTATTAGATTTAAACTATTATTATTTCCTTGTATATTATGTGCAGAAATTAATTATTATATATTTTCTCGTAAGAACTTGGTCTTTTTTGATGGCAACAACATTTTCATACAAGTTTAACTACTGTAACGAAAGCTATAAATTTCGTTTGCCAAATAATTCAGATCAAAAACTATTGCCGAAATAAATCCTACGAGCTTTATTACTTTTATGAATAAAATTAATTGAATATTCATAAGTCAATGCTGAATGCTGAATAAGGATTGTCTACTTGATATTAAAATTAAACGAGATTGTATATAAAAAAAAAAACAATAGAAAAACAATTTTCTGTCACAAAGCAAGTCATGGTCTCTTCGAAATAAAATATGTAGATAATAAGGAGAAAATTAGTCTAAACGTCGTAATCTTAACCAGAAAAATTAAGGCAAGTACTATAAAAAGGCTTACACCGTTGCGTATAAAAATAAAATTATTAAAAGCCTTAGTTAATGGTAACCATCCGTTATTTCCTTAAACAAAACAAAAGGCAAAAATATTTTCCATGTTACCAGTAATCTATATATACAGAATTTATTCCATTCATTAGAAATAATAATTCATTCAAATGAATGAAAAAAATTAAAATGAAAGGATGGAAATGAAATAAATTACTACTAGTTCTTGTTACCAAAAAACCCTTACGTAGTGGCAAAGAACCTAGTAGGCATGAGATACTTAATAATTGAAAAAAAAATTAATGATAGGTCCAAAAATAAATCTGTTAAGGAGACGGATCATTTAGCAAGGGTACATATGACCCAAGCCGCTTGATAAAGTAGGCAGATTTACACAAAAACGAGGTACTTACATTGAAATATTACTGTAATGTCATATATGTATGATTCAAAAGTAAAATTTGTAATAAAGCAGCATTCCTTCATAAGATAAATAAACTGATATAATATTTTTTACCTTTAAGATTAACACGTGGTTTTTGATACTAAAACACTATTGGTTTTCGGTAGTTGAAACAAAATATTTTTTTCCATATGAATGTTGGTGATTGTACCTGATAAATGTTTTGCGGAAAAAGGTTTAAACTTTATAACAGGGGAAAACCTCGGGATAACTGCAGGCTATTTAAAATACGATACACATTTCAACTGTCCGCTGTAGAAACATGCTAATTTCCGTTTGTTGAAATTTATTGTAGTCATACATTTGGCTTATATATCAAAAGCTGGAATACTAATTCACGTCGCATTTATCAAGATATTTAGCAGATCACAAAAACGTGACAGGCTTTATTGAAGCGGAAAATTTCCATGCTATTTTTCTATAAAAGTGATTTATGGTAGAATTGGAATCTTATTTGAATTGTGTTGTTGCTTACTTGGTCCAATAAATTTCGTATTTTTCTAGCATAATGTTTATTTAAATTAATACACTTTCTTGTGTCTTCTAGTGGAAACTGATTTTCTCTGTTAATTTTTTAATTATTTCATTTGTCAAACATTACTGTGAGACGGTTCACTGTTATCTTCAATAACTTGTGTTTCGTCTCAATTTTGCATTTATAATACATACAGTACATTGTGAGATAAGACGTACGCCAAGAGCAGTAGGTACACGAAAAATCTACTTAATTTTCAATCAGGAACATTAGAGTTTAACTTTAAGCAAAAGCATTTTTAAAATTGGCAAAATGCCACTCTACAAGCAAATATGTATATCATAAATGAAAAATAAAATATCCGTCGCATTTATTACCATTTCATGGTTTTGAAAAGACTATCGTCAGCATGACTAACGTCACAAATGTGTACTTCTTGTCAAAGTGGTAGTTAACGACTTACTATATAGTCTGTTGTAGTTTTGACACTATTGCAAATATGAAGAATAGACGTGTAGTAGTCTCAATGATGTCTACCTTAAATACAGTCTCTTATCGATTATCAAGTGTGTATAAAATTCAAAAGAAATGGTAGACAGTAGATTTTACACCAGTATCATAAATTTTGCTGCCTAAATTATTGAATAGAACTCAAAATCAATAATAATTAATAAGTTTTTGTACCTACTGCATAAGAGTAGTAGTAGTATCTAAGATACTTTCACACTTTCACTGTCCTTATTTAATTGAGTTTTCTCTTACCTGGTGCAATAAGTAAATCTGACATCTTTATTCATTAAAGTACTGTCTTTATTTCATAAATTACTTATTTTGAGTGAATGGTAGTGGTATTACATCTCTATAATACCAACTGAGACGGTTTGAAATAAATTATAAAGCAACTGTGAAAAGTATTGAGTTGAAAAAAAATTAAAATAGTTATCAATTGAATGCTTAAAATATTTTAATGCAACGATAATTATATAAGAGACCTAAGTACACTAATTGAAAGAGAATTTTAATGAAGTATGAAATTATTTTTTTTAAACATCTAAGTTGTAAATAATAACTAAACTTTATATAAAAATCCTAATCAAATACATCAGATAAATCATAACGATAACTATAATAACCCGCCTTAACCTTTTCTGGTAAGAGCTCATACGAAATGAGGAAGGTATTTCTCTTATTGTAATCACGAACACATAATGTCGCTCTCAAACATTAGGGCAAGACGAATTGAGGCAATCTGCTGTTCCCCAATCCTAAAGGTTACTTTCACTGTAGTAATCCTTTATTCACGTATGTGATAAAATACAAGAGCACTAATAAGATATTTTTAAAGAAAAGTTACTACAACACCAACTAATATCATTTCTATATTATACTAATTTGAACAAAAAAATGTATTCCTTAGAAATTTTAATCTGCTATTGTTAACAAGTAAATATAATATAAGGTCGTAGTGGCCAAAAGGTAAAAGGCCAATCTCTCGTGCATGAGGGTCCGGGTTCGAATCCCGGTAAGTCCCAATGTGATCATTCCAAGTCATATGTACTATGTTAGGTGGTAGAGCCTCGCTATGGTCAGGTGATTACAGCTCGAACATGGGCTGGCTCGGCCGGGGAAGTACCACCCTCTCACAGAAGATCAGCATAAAGTAGCCTTTAATGGGTGCGTTTCGTCTGGTGAGTGAGAGAGCCGGTTGCCCTTTTCCTGTTCCCACTCTTTCCTACAATTTCCTTATTCCTACCCCTCCCTTTTCATTAACAACTAAGGTTGGCAACGCATCCGCAACATCTATGTTGCAGATGTCCATGGGCGACGGTGACTCCTGCCCATCAAGGAGGCCGTCAGCTCGTTTGCAACTTTTCACATAAGAAAAAATCTCTAAGAGTATTTAGACACCATTAATCTGACAGCTGCAATAGACAAACGGCTTAAACTCTCTCTCAACATATTAAAACTATAGTCCTAAATACTTTTACTATAAATGTGGACTAATTAAGCGAGAGTATGTGCTTATTACACAAAAAATTATAAGTATTAGTATAACTTTAATTTCTTACTAAGTTGTAATTTTAGGACATACATAGAATTTAACAAAATGCGAAGTTGGTTATACATTTTTGCATATATACCAGACTTATGATAATTTATAATATTATTAATATTTTAATTACTTTTGATTTATTAGATATTGTTATTTTTCTGGTCGCTTTTTTCAATAGTAAAAGTCTTTATTAAATCATTTCAAATATATACGAGATTTAACCTACAAGAGACGTGAACAAAGTTGTAAAACATGTATTAAGTAAATGATTTAAGTTCAGACATAAATTAATTTTGACAGACGTATACAAAGACTAAACAGATTTCACAGGTGTTTGGTGAGCTCCGTGTGACGAGGGATTAGATGTCACTGTGGACTTTGATGTGATATATACAAATAACAACATTAATACCACACTGAAGACTACCTAATTTATACATATAAATAGATGTATATAAACTTAATGATATTGGTATAATATACATATATTCTGTTAGCAGAATATATGTACATATATCTAATTGAAACGAATATTTTTCGGATTATACTACGAAAATCATAATTTCTCGTCTTGTCTGTCCGTGATCACGGTTGCTGAAAAGTAACCGAAATATCGGAAGTATGTAGTTGTTTTACTTAAAATATTCGTGAACGTCTTAGATCTCATTATACATATATGTATATCATCATGATTCTGTAGCCAAATTTTTACAATAAATAAAATAATTTATTACTCTATTTGTAAATACGACTGATATTACACATGAACTAACTTTCTACACAACCTCTTGTTCTACATTGATTTTACATTAAACAGAAACCGCAGAAACTTGTGTGAATTAATTAATGTATGGAACCAAAATTAAAAGCAATTAGCACTTAAAATGACTATAGAGAAAGTTTGTAGTCTGATGTGTACAAAATGTCTACTCGGATGACTGAGTATGATAATAACGCTAAATGTATCCATTAAAATTACAAGCAACATGTTTCATTTCTACTACACGTAAAACACACTTAAACTTCTTTGAACAGCTTTCAGAAGCCTTTAGATTAAATGTAGTTGGTGAAATTATTAGTTTGGTCATTCAAACATTTAGAATTGCGACACCTGTACCCATTTTATTCGGAACCGTCTTTTGCAAAGGTTTACATGTGATGAATATAGAAAGTTTTGTGTGGTATGAAAAGGCAATTATGAATTGAGGTTCTTGTGGGAAAAGGGTCAACATTGTTTAATTACCAATATGATCCTGTAGGTAATAGAAACTTCGTAATATTTATACCCTGTTTAAAATAAAAAGGGCTTTGTGAATCAATCGATTGACGCTTGTACGTTTATACTAATGAGACTCCCACCAGACTTCTCAAGATTGTAAAAGACGAATTTGAGTCATAAAAATAGTAGTTTTATTACATATATACTATTTATATAAACGATATAACCCTTGATATATTTTGATTTAAAAATGCTCTCTCTATAGGACTCATTAACCTTTTTTATGTTCTAAATATTAGATAACTTTCATTAACTTATAAAAAAACTGTAGTGAGAAAAAAAACTTAATTTTCTTAAAGTTTCAGTTATGTTATATACATATCACAATTAAATATCCAAAACTGGGCTATGGGTAAGAAACCTGATTCTACTCTTTCGTGTTCTCAACAACACGTTTTTTTTTTTTTTTTTATGGGCCTAAGGGGCACGCGAGCAGACGGCCTACCTGATGGTAAGTAGATACCGTCGCCCATGGACATCTGCAACACAAGGGGTGTTGTTGATGCGTTGCCGGCCTTGTTTGAAAAGGAGCCTGAACACTTGCTTCTTGAAAGACCCCATGTTTACATGAACTTCTCTCATTTGTACTTTCTTTTAGTAACATGCAAGAGTGGGACAAATTTTACCAACGTCGGTCTCAGTCTTGTGCCTATACACCCAGTTTTGGTCATGGTTTTGCAAACATGCAATAATAAACACACTGCAAACTGAAATACTGCAAGGTTGCAACACAAAGACCGATTTTATCAACACTAGTTTTGATAATAAACATTTCTACTCCCATAAAGTATAATATTGAAAATACCTGTAACTATAAAATTAATTCTAAACAAAATAAAGCATATTTTTCTATGTATAAGATTTCATGAACACTTAGTAAAAGTCTTAGTAACAATATTAGAAACGTATTATGGAAAGAAATTATATAGAATTGTTTTCGGAATAACAATAGGTTATTCAGATAAAACTTTTATGAAGTAGCCAGAATCAAAACAAAATGCCATAAAGATAGATAGGGAATTTATGGTCTCAGAGCACTTTATCTGTAATAACTTTCTTTACTTATTGACTTGTGCCTTAGAATATACATTTATTTATATAATTTATAAGTTTAATTATAGATGTTTATCATAAAAGATAACAGACATTGCGTTTTTGACGCTCAAGCTAATCTAATTAATGCTTTTAAACTAAATGAATAAAGTCAGAAAATTAAATTAAATTAAATCCCTTTTCAAATATTCTGTTATAAGCAACTGCTTTTCATAGAAAAATTTTTAATAATACGTTTTAGATTATTTAAAGACAGAATCCTTATGACATAAAATCCTGGTAATATTTACGGTCAAATGACTTTTGTTTATGAAACAAATGTCATATTTATTTCTAGATATCCTTTATTAAAAAACAATACATTTTATTAAACACAACTAAATATAATATTAATGTTTTCTGATTTTTTATAGCCAATTCTCCTCCATGAACCACGGTATTAACCTTTTATAACTTAACTAAATCTCGATGGTTAAAGATATTTCCACTATGTATTGAAAGTACTATATACTAACCACAAGTTTTGCATCGACAAACTGAATATGGAGCGTTCAAAGTTTTGTATTTCTAATATTTCGCACGTATTAATACTGAAGGAGGTTCTGGAATAAAGTAAAGGCAATGCTTCACGTATATGTAGTATGACGATGCTTACTTGTAGTAAGCATAGTATATTGAAAATTAATATTTTTCTTCTTGTTATAGAGCCACCTACGTGTCAGTGTTGACGATATCAGCTTTCTCTTTGGAGCGATATTTAGCTATCTGTCATCCCCTGCATCTATACGCGATGGCTGGTTTGACTCGAGCCACGAAAATTATTGTCGTTTTGTGGCTTGTGGCGTTGGTGAGTGCGTCGCCATACGCCCACTACAGCGACATTTATTACAGGGATTATCCGCCACGTAAGTCTTATTTATTATATTAACAAAACTTTCTATACTCGTGTTCTTCTTCATATATGTATTTTATCGTACAAAAAGTTGCAACACATAATGAAAATTTATTTCACGTATCTAAGTATCATCCAAGTAAGAATATGTATATATTATTATTATTATCTTTTGCTTCTTATTTCATAGTGTTATTTTCTTTAACTATTTTATATTTGACATCAATATAGATGGATCAGTTTTAGAGTATATGATTGAGAAACACTTAAATGTTATCAAATTTATATTATACAAAAAAATTTAGATTACTGTTGTATGATTAATCTAACAAAGAGAAGTTGTATACAAATGCTAGCGTTTCAAATACCTTCAAACGTGGCATGTGAATGCTTATGACAGAAATTGTGTTAAGCTGATTTGTGTTACATAAACTGAAATACTTTGGTAGTTTAATAAGCGTGATGCTGTGATATCTAGGCTTTAATTAATTCAAAATATACAGTTATCTGAATTAATCCGTCGGAAGTAACATAACTGTAATTAATACTTACGTTCCACAATTGTAAGTATATATGGGACTTTAGATAACTCCTGAATAATGCTTGGTTTGGCGAAGTCTAGAGAGACTATGTTTAAAATCAATTCTTTGAACGGAAAACTAGCTTAAACTTTTTATTTAAACAAATATTCTATTTTTAACATCGCTATATTTTTTAAGTTATTTGTAGTTTTTTAGAAAAAAAGAAAAATTTACAGAATTTTCTATATGAAATTTCTTCCGAGCAAATATCTGTTATTTATAAAAAAATGTTTTACCTAAATCCGATTCCTAACATTAGTAATGCCCTATAAAATATTTGTATTCCCATTTAAATAGAATTACATTTACCTGTAGTCAATATTTACATCAATATTCTATTTCTAATAGTAAACACTAGAGTGGTGATCTCACACGGTTCCAAAACAGTTAATTCATATCTAGATGAAGTTATAAAGTACAATGTATAATATAAAATTAGATTGCACTCAGTTTTATCGATAAGTGATGAAGATTTTCATTTGAATTCCATACGTTTGATTCAACTGGGATTATATTTGTTTTCCCTATATATTATATCTCGCTTCTTAGAATGTTCAGAATTATAAAACCCGTTCACCAACTATGTATACCGGTAATGTTAAAGAATTGTAGGCATAAAATTAAAAATCTTTTATATATGAATTAGGAAACTCATCTTCTTCAATATTTGAAGAAAATTTTGGAGTAAAATTTAAGCATATCTACTTTCCTACATTTATTTAAAAATAAAAAAGTCAAGTTTGGTTTCATACTGATTTTTTATTCATAGGAATCCTTATCTTCTGATAATTAATATTTAAGTATATAACGAAAATATAGTATTATTATTTATCGGAAACGAGAAAATAAATTTAAATAAGAAAGAGGGAAATGTCGACTTGTTATACATTTATTTCCCTATTAAAAAAAACCATATACATTAAATTAAAATATAATATATAATAAATAAGAAAGAACACACAGTTTAAAAAGTTTTAATTTTAAGTTTCAAGAACAAAAAAATCATTAATTACGAAATTTTCTCTGATAGATATAGTTATTTGCAAAATCATACTTTTCAAACAGTTCCAACATTATTAAAACGCCAGTTTATATCAAGTAATTTAATTTATATTTTTCAAGTGTTCGTGTCTTAATAAAAACAGTAAAAAATATGTATTAAATAAATTGGATTACAATTATTTCTAACTGTTTAAGATTCTGGGAACGTGTCACTGGATTCAGCCTTCTGTACACTGACTGCGTCGTCGCCACTCCTGGAAATCAGTAGCATCTTCTTCTTCTTCATACCAGCTGTCATCATACTCTGTCTATATATAACCATGGGGATTCATATCAGGTGGCTAGTAACATTAGTTTTAGTAATAATATTTTAAATAATATTTGCGTTTCTGACGGGTCGTGTAATTTTGGCTGAATAAATAAGCGATGTGACTTTGAACTGGCCTACAATTTTAAAAAGCTTTTATTCCCTTTATTAATGTGCCAGCCACTCCACGTTTGCGTTTCTGACAGGTCGTGTAATTTTGTCAGAATAAATAAGCGATGTGACTTTGAACTGGCCTACAATTTTAAATAAAGTTTTAAAAAGCTTTAATTCACTTTATTAATGAGTGAAAACATTTCAAATTAGATAGTTATTCTAACTTCCAATATATTATTTAGAAAACGTGACAATATCACATAAAATTATACACTAAATTCAATACTATTTTATTGAAAATAAAAGACTGTGTAATATGTTATTACACAGTCTTTTATTTATTGTACATCACTTATCGTGACGAATCGACAGATGCCTGAAACGCAATCTTTAAACGTCCAAACCATATGTTTTATCAAATCATAAAAAAACCTAAGATTTTTTTAAAAATTATTTCCTAAACTGGGAAAAAGGTCTAAGTCTATAATGTATTATAGTAAGAAGTAAGGTAGCCAATAACGTAACAATAACTCCTTATGTCCTACCAACACTTATATACTTACATCTAATAAACACTACCTCCTATTGTTTAAATATAAGTTCATAATTAATGAGCCTCCGTTATTAACGAAAATAGCTCCAATGGATATCAAATATTTAACAAAATCTATTTAAATCTATTTAAAATTCCAACCGAACAAAGTTTGTTCCGCTGATATTGTTTTATAGTTAGTGTTCGCGAGGCTGAGTTTATGCAACAACTAATTTAGTGCAATGAAATTTTAATTAACTTTGTTATATACGGGGACGCGTTTTATAAACTTATTTTGTTATTGATTGAGATATATATATATATATATACAAGTTATATAAAAATGATTTTATTACATTTTTTTACACCTAGTGGAGCTAATAGCTATTTATGTTAATTATGGAGGCCTGAGCTTATATTTGAACAACAAGAGTTAATGTGGTTAGACATAAGTTAATTAGTGTTGGTAGGAAATTAAACCATATATATATATATATATGTGTGTGTGTGTGTGTGTGTGTGTGTGTGTGTGTGTGTGTGTGTGTGTGTGTATGAGTGTGTAGATGCCTTTTTGAGTAACACATAGCTATTATTATAATCATCACTGTCCTCTGTCCCAGGTCCACCAAAGTAAGTGCCAAGGCAAAACAAGGCATGTTCAAAGGACACGTTCACGGAGAATTACGACAGGCTAAGTCGAGGAAAGCCGTCGTACGAATGCTTAGTAAGTCATATTGGTTTTTAAAGAATTTAAAATAACACTGGCAATAACATGATAACAATGGTAAGACTCATGTTTTTTTTTTAATTTACTTATTAACTATTTTCAAACCTCAAAATATACATTGAAAAACAAAAAAATCCAACCTATTTAATTATAACTCTGTAAACAACATATGAGTTACTGAACAACGTTAAACGTAATTGAAGAACGAATACAACTATTAATTGTAAACTTTCAGCTTGGAAATTGTATTATTGGGTTTTATAAAAAAAACTATCTTTAGTCGGTGTAACAAATAAATTTTTAGAATTACATAAATGCTATTAAATATAAAATTTGCCTTACAGTAGTATCCTTAAACTAAATTAGTATCGTATCGTCATCGTAAAATGCAATCAGACTATGCTTATCACAAGTTTGCATCAACATACGATATTCATAGATAGATAGATTTTGATACTAAAAACTTCCTACTTTATCTTATAAAAGAAGGTCGCCCGACAACAAACGGCAAACGTGACGTGTAGTGTGACGAAGCAAACTTGTACTATGTATACAGATATAAACTTTTATATGAATCAATATATATTTTTCGAATACTACGCATTTTTATATCATATATGTACCAACTTTTCGGTTCCTTTACTGAAATAGTGTCGTTGACCACACTACATGTTCTCAAGACATGGTAAGCGAAATCTGTGTATCCAGAGTCCCTGATAGGCAAGAGGTGTCTTAAAGACGTTCTACTAGACCCTGATGATAAAATAACCACCAACTATACAGACACGACCCCCATCACACATAACCATACCAACACACACTGCCTTTGCTAGCAAAGACGAGGTCCCGTTTCATAAATTTCGCTCTAGCGCACTATGGGAAGGCCCCATAAAAGGCCCATAAAATACCCCATGAAAACCCCTTCACATGAAAGTCGTTGCTATGCAGTAAAACTAATTAATTAATTTAGTCTTATAAATAAACTTTCTTTTCTATATATTTTTTAATTATTTTTTGCAAACCATAATATATACATATTAAAAGGCATCACAGTTAACTCATGTTCAATGGTGTGATTTCGGCCCAGTACATTACTATAATTCAACGCCACATTACTCGAAAGTCTTTGTTATAAATATACAGGGTGACTGATGAATTACTATCAATATTTAAGGAGCATACTCGGTACATGATTCTCATTCGAATTATGTAAAAAAAATAGGTACTTAATTTTTGACCAAATTTCCGTATAAATAAATAAAGTGTGTACACGTTCCAAGTGTTCCAAGTGTGGACGCGTGCGGCGGCGTGCTGATACAACACTACGCCGCCGCCGCGTCTGTGTGAGTGGGTGTGTATACCTAATCTGTAGGGTGTTCATACGATGCGTAATTAATTACATAACTTTTGGTTAACTTTACTTAGAAGTTTATTAATATTTATGTTATATTAATTTTTATTTTGTCATATATGATCGTCATATATCACGTCCTCAAATATCGATAGTAATTCACCAGTCACCCTGTATAATTATACATTTTTGAAATGCTTATAATCTCCTTATAACGTTTCTTAAATAATATTATGTATGACAAAAAAATAAATTACAATTAACCAATATAGTTTAAAATGGTATAATTTTCGGGTTACTTTTTTTTAACGAGACTTACCTGTTTACCGCTGTCGATATATTTGTTGTATTACGATCTTTGTACATTAGTTTACACAGGGACAAAAAAAAAATTGTGCGCCTACTTGCGCCTTTTTTCATACGGTGCGAAAACATATTTAAATATTTTTATTTTTCAAATAAATCAATAAACATAATTTTCACAATTATTATTTTTTATATTAACTTTCACGTATATGTGTGCAAAATTATACATCATTCAGTTTTGAAATAACTGAGATACGGAGTTTTGAGATGAAGCATACGCAATTTTTCCACTGTGCGGCGTTCTGTCGTATTATATTATATTATGCAATCACTCTACCGATGCCATCCTCCACTTCAACGATGTGCTAAGCCGAGCTCCAGTCTCTTAGAGGCATCCTTGGGACGGGCGCATCCCCCGACGGGCCCTTCGAGCCTGAATTAAATCGGGTCAGTCCCATCGGGCCACCCACATAAAGGCGTAATGGCTTTGACGCTGTCAAAGCCTTTACGGCTAACAGCAACTGACAAGCCGAAACTAAAAAAGTATTCAGAGCAGTATGCCAGAAAATTAAGAAATCGATGGCGGTAGATGTTAAGTAACAAGACCAACTGACAGACATTCACATCTCGTCTGCCCGTGATCACAATTGCTGATAAGTAATAAGTAACCGAAACGTCGGTATTATATAGATATAAAGTTATAGAAAAAGTGTATCCTAAAACCTTAGTATCTTTTAATTATTAATTTTAAATGAATAATAAAAGTTTAATTTTTGTCCTTATAAAAGAAAACAAATAAAAAATATCATCGTATAACTTAAAGGAACAATCAATATGTGACATGGAAATATTCACCGAGAAGATTTATGGATAACATTTTTATTCAGTTTTAATCTTAAGATACTTGTTTAAGACCATTAATCGTGTGAGAATACAAAGTGTTTCTCGAATGGAATTTTAAATAATAGCTAATGAACCAATTTATTATGTTTTGTAATTGGCAATCGATAAGGCCTTGATATCAATTTAAATTGCGTTGAATACCAAACAGAAATAAATTTCATTTAGGTAATTAGGAATCAGAATATGTGGGGTACTTTGATTTATTGTTAACCAATTTTAACCCTAGAAACCAATCATCAAGTAATTAGTACGAAAAGCTTTGCCGATGGACGCAGTAGAGCGGTGAAAAATTAATAAAATACATGTGAGTTTTGTGCATATATCTTATTTCCTAAAACATTGCTAACATGAAAATTATATAAAACTAATATGTCATATAAAAGGCTTTCAATACTTTTTTATGCATGACATTCTTTAATATAAATATTTTTGGGGGCATTTATTCTTTGACTTCTAGGACTGAATCTATTCCGTCTCATTTTTATTCTTTTTAATATTAAAATTTTGCTGGTTTTAATTTTGATACGAACTTCTCGTTCTGTGAAAGAATTAAGTTTGATTGAGTTCTGTTTCGACCATACCGAATTTTTTCTGTTCCTTTAATTATTTTTTTATACTTCAAATACATAGCTACATTTTCCATTTACTTAAGGAACTCGACATTTATGTATTTTGCACCTTAATCCTTATGTATATTTAATTAAAAATATATTTTGAGTGATAGCCATTTCAAGTACACTAATAAAACGCGGACGTCTAAGGACATCGATGTATTGGAACTCAATTAGAGTCTTATAAATTGTCCATATGTCAAAACCACCCTATAGGAACGATGTTCTTCTATCAAAAATAGTTGGAATCTCCAGGTTTATTAAATTACACTTAAAAATTTGTTCTTTATTTCTTATAAAGTATTAGAAAGTTACATTCTTGTGTTCCAGTAATTACAATTGTTTTTACAGGATAATGCAAGAGTAATTGAATTCCGCATTTCAAATATCTTGTGTTAAATCATTTACTAAAGATTTATTTCTTGACTAATTATTTCAATAACATAATATACAGCACGAAATTTTGCTTAGAACTAAGACAAATTAAACATTATATATGTAGAAAAATGTACAGATTTCGTTTTAAATACACCTCTACATATTTATTATTTAACGAACATTGGCGGCTAAGTTACTTAATATAAAAAATCGTTGTCAAATGTAATTTGCATAAATTTTCGCTTATTAACATAAAATTACTCTTAAATTTTAAATAAAATGTCACAATTCCTTGGAGATGATCGTAAATCTATTCGCGATTCTCTGACACGGAGTCTACTGAGATTTACGAACGCTAATTTGAGAGTTAATCACGTTAAGAATAACTATAAATAAACAACAATATAATTAACATAAATAAAGGTGAAATGAAACTAAGTTTTTCGTATATCAAGCGTTTTTGTTATTTTATACCAACATAATCCAAAGTACTTTTATTTCGTCTATCCGTGATCACGGTTGCTGTAAAGGATCGAAACTTTGGGATGACGTTCATATAAAATAAAAATAACGCGTTCATAATAACATAGTTTTATTTAAATATATACATTCGATCAATATAAATCAATTCAATTAAAATGGCAATACTCTTTCATAAAACTTTAACAAACGAATTCGAGCAATAATACATTAACGGGTATCGCTACATATTCAGAGCAATAAACTATTTTGAACACAATATTGCTACCCAACTGTCTATTCCACTGATTTCTTTATAACTTTAAAAGTTTTTACTCTAAATCATAAAATTCTATAATACGAAAATATTTAACACGTCCCATTACAAAGTACGAACATGCTGAATTGATATAGAAAACCTCTTAACTAATAATCGTTTTCTTACACATTATGATTTTTACTGAAAATTAAAATAATAATAATAATAAAGTTCTTGTCATAATTATATTTTTAATATTAAAGAAATTTTACATTGATAATGGTATATTAAAGTGTCGCTTCTAAGCTGGAAAGTTAGGAAACATTATTTAGGAAAAACCTTACAGATAGCATCTTCAAATAATACGCTTAAGAACACTACTGGAAATATGAGTTAAGAAAACTGCTCATTTGGAATTACCCATTTTATATTTTCCATATGAATTTATATTATATTATATTTATTTATAGGTGGTTATTTATAGGAGCCTAGCTGTAGTCAGTTACTACAGCTCGAACATGGGCTGGCTCGACCGGGGAAGTACCACCCTCTCACAGAAGATCGGCGTGAAGTAGCCTCTAATGGCTGCGTTTCGTCTGATGAGTGAGGGAGCCGGTTGCCCTTTCCCTATTCCCACCCTTTCCTACCATTTCCTTATTCCCACCCCTCCCTATCCCTAAAAAACAAGGTGTTGCGGATGTCAATGGGCGACGGTAACCACCTTCCATCAAGTGGGCCGTCTGCTCGTTTGCCATCTTTCACATAAAAAAAATAAAAAATTAAATTAAATCCTATCTATCTAGTTGCTGTAGTGATAGCATTCTTCGTGTGCTGGACTCCATTCCACGTCCAGCGTCTCTTCTTCATATATGGCTACAACCATCCCGACTTCCACATCATCAACGAACATCTCTTCAACGTGGCTGGGGCTTTGTACTACGTATCAGCGACTGTCAACCCGATATTGTATAACGTCATGAGTGCAAGGTAAGTAAAGAATTAAAACGTATATTTTAAATGTACTGATTTTTTAGAGCTAGAGATTACTTGAGGTTTACCAACGTTATATGTTTTCAATATATTCTTAACAGGAAAATATTGTTTTCGATAAAAAAGGATGAAGACGGGATAAAACATGTTTAATATTAAATTCATCTCATACACTTCCCGTCATAAAAATAATGGCTTGGATATAAGTAGCAAATATTATTTTAACGAAAACGCTTTCAAGACTCACGTGTTATGTTAGATACGGAAAACAAAGTCTTTACATATGTACGTACATAATATGTCACAAAAAAGTACTTGTCAGTAGTTTTAAGATTCTTACTATTACAATAGACCACAATACAGAAACTTTTCTTTCAACTAAACAAACAACTCACTAACAACATCTTTGACAAAAATATATTTAAAAAAATATATACTGACAAAAAAAATGCTAACGGGGATCAAATTAAAATGGTTAGACATACTAAAAATTCGATTTAAATGTTTTCATTAACTCATTCTAATTTGAATATATGCGAAAAGAAAAATATAAGTTATGCAGATTTTTCGTGATTTTCATACTCATAATTAAACCATATATTGCAAATTAAACAAAGTGACAGCTTTGCATACATATTAGTTTCTTAAAGCTCTATACAGGGTGACTGGTGAATTACTATCAATATTTGAGGAGAGTACTCGGTACATGATTCTCACTCGAATTATGTTAAAAAAAATAGGTACTTAATTTTTGACCAAATTTCCGTATAAATAAATAAAGTGTTGACACGTTCCAAGTGTTCCAAGTGTGGACGCGTGCGGCGGCGTGCTGATACAACAACACGCCGCCGCGCGCGAGAGTGTGTGTGTGTGTATACCTAATCTGTAGGGTGTTCATACGATGCGTAATTAATTACATAACTTTTGGTTAACTTTACTTAGGAGTTTATTAATATTTATGTTATATTAATTTTTATTTTGTCATATATGATCGTCAAATATCACGTCCTCAAATATCGATAGTAATTCACCAGTCACCCTGTATAAGTATTTGATATTTAAGTTTGAAGTACTATATATCAATAAGGTTCATACAAATTAAATTAAGATTTATCCATACATTTCCAAAGCAAATATATTTAAAGCATTTTTTTCCATTATTTAGTAATGATTCTTCTATTTATTTAAAGACAAATCGATTGCGGAACTTGTAGGAAATAACGTTTTTATTTAACTCTAAGTCTGTTTGAACCGAATGAAGCCGAACTAATTCTATTTAGTCCGAGGTTAAAAGCAAATCAAACACTGTAAATTAAAAATACTACTCGTACAATATACATAGTTTTAAAGTCACAATAGCACCACTGTTATTTATTTTGTATTATTTACTATAATGTAACCTTTGACTTCGTTGCCTTTTAACTTAGCAAATATAGGATTAAATTTTAAACATTGATTAAGATAATTAAATCTTTATTACTAGGAAACTCTGTCTCATTACTTTGGGTCGGAATTGTAGTTCTTGATTTTACCGTACTAGTGACTTTGTTTATCTTTATTGACTTATATCAAATACATAGACATCGTCCTTATGAAAAAAATAACATATAATAATAATTGAATCTCTTTATTCACTGTAATTACATTTTATTTTCCCCGCATTTATTCGAATGGTCGGTATGTTTAAAGAAAACAATAATTAAAATTTTGCGTATGAATTTTTCGGTATTATTTTGGAATTATATGAAAATGATTAGTAATGAGAGGCATGACTTTATATGTATTATAAACATTTTATTTAATTTCTTTTACAACATTAAGTAATGTGTTGAGTCAATTATATTCGTACATAATTCAATATAGTTATGAATACACTGTTGATTTAAAGATATTGAGAAAACAGTTATCTTCTAACACGAACTATATACCAATTGTATAAAAAACCAGTGTGATTAAATACAATAAATGAATCTGATTTCACTAAACATATCCTTATATACTTTTAAAGTTTCTTTTGCTATCATCAGGTATCGCATGGCGTTTCAAGAGACATTACTCTGCAGACATCAAGCTGACAGGAACAGTTTTGACCAGATACGTAGAGACACAACTCTTTCAACAAGCGCCAGGCCCAAATCCAGCTTTTACTCTGAACAAAGACTACCAACAAGTAAAGTGGACTTCGTCAAAGATAAACCATTCTGCATCGAAACTGAGATTGATGATAAAACAATTTTTTATTATCCCAACGCAAAAACTCGGCAAGACAATCTGCAAGATAATGGCGGACCTTCATAGAGTTAATATATTAGATATATATTGATATAATATGTATATATTAGTACTCTAATTGTATAGACAAACGTTCGTAACAGAATATGTATTTAAATTTTTATGTCCGAACAAATTAAAACAGTGTACAAAAATAGATAACCAAAAAATCACAATTTTTATTGATGATAGTCATAGTAACTCTTATACGGGTCTGTAGTTACTGGAAATTATTAAAGTTTTCATATTTGCCAATTAATTTTGACATTTTCCATCACTCTACAGACTTGGGTTTAATATTAATCAAACTTATTTGTAACCTTGAAAGTATTTCGTTACCACAATAAATAAGGGTTTAATAAATAAGAAGGAATAGCTTTAAGACGTTATTAATAAACAGGCTAAGTTTTTGTAAATAATATTAGAATAGGAAATAGTTATTTATAAGAATTGTAAAAATATTGATACTTTTCTGTTTTATTCTCGACATATAAAACCTCCTTTGTCTTATCCTATCTTCTATTTGTTAATATTATTTAAGACCATAATCTTGTAAATATCTCTTTATTAGAAGAACTTTTAACTGTCAAATTATTAAATTCTAAATTAAAATTTAATATTATTGTATTATCTGTGCAATTTTACATTTTATTAACTGTATTATTAAGTATAAGAAATGATATAAATATGTATAAGTAATGAATATTTTATATCGAATAATTGCGTAAGTTAAGTTTTGTGTATATTAAAAGATACTTGTGTTTTGATGTAATATTAAAATAAAAAAAGTCAAAAGGTTGTTTTAATTATTCTCTGTTTCTTTATATTTAATATAAAGTATTTCATAATCAAAAAAAAACATTCGTGAAATGATACTTAATGTTGAAAACAAATGGATATATGGAGTAGTATAATTACATATTATATGATTTATAAAATTTCTATGCATTTATATTCATATTTTTATGATAAACTAATAGTCGGATTACCCATGAAAATAACTGTATATGTATATGTTTATAAAAATATACATTATGGAAGTTCACTATCAAAAGATAATTTATTTCTTTATTAATGCTTTTACTTCTTGTTCTTCTATGAATTTAATAAGAAAAGCTTTTATCAAAAACATATTTAAAACATTTGTTTTTAAACAAAAATTATTTTTTTTTATGTCAAAGGTGGCAAACGAGCAGACGGCCCACTTGATGGAGGGTGGTTACCGTCGCCCATTGACATCCGCAACAAAGATGTTGCGGATGCGTTGCCAACCTTGTTTTATAGGGATAGGGAGGGGTGGGAATAAGGATATTGTAGGAAAGGGTGGGAATAGGGAAAGGGCAACCGGCTCTCTCACTCATCGGACGAAACGCAGCCATTAAAGGCTACTTCACGCCGATCTTCTGTGAGAGGGTGGTACTTCCCCGGTCGAGCCAGCCCGTGTTCGAGCTGTAGTAACTAACCACAGCTAGGCTCTACCACCTAAAAAATATTTTCTACAATGTCAAAACTGTAATTGAAATCACAGGATAACTGATTTATTTGAGGCGATACTTATCAGACTTCAATGTATTCACGGTACGGGTGCCGTTTCCATAGTTACCTTTATTTATATGTATAACTTATCGCATTTTGTTTATCATAACAGTATTGTAACACAAGTTATCAATAATTAAATACAAAATTTAAACCATAACAATTGCTACACTTGAATGAATGAAAAGTGTTTTATTGTTATTGAATGAAAGTCTCCTTTGTGAGTTCGAGACTAAATATTCTATTCCTGAATGTGTATAATATTCCAATAATTGAGAGAGGATTTACGCGGCGAAATATGGTTTAGTTTCATCCAATTTGAAAGGATTATGTTTTAGAAAGATATAGATACAATTTTTCAATATTTTTTAAAGAAATGTTCAAATTCTTAACAATAGAGAGAGACGAAACCTCTTAGCATTCAACGGATTCACCGTGCGGGTGCCGGGTACATCGCGTTGTAGGGAGAGGAGCTTCAACAGTGTCTGGGACTTGCAACCCAGGTGTAGATTTAAGGGGCCCCTTGTCTAAAGCGCGTTAAACGATCACCTCCACCGTTCTCTCCTCCACCAAGTTTGTTGTTTTTACATTTTTATGAATAATTTTAACTATTTAAATTAGGTATACCGCAAAGCCGGTTAACGTTACCGTTTTATATTTTTTGTTTTACTATTATAAATGACTGCTTTTTGAATCATTGCTTGTTATATTTGGGGCAAAAGCTGTATATTATTAAAATCCCATTATTTTTAACTTTATTCAAGAACAGAATTTATAGGCGCATGTAATGTAATCTCAGTCAAAAACCCAATGAATTGTGACATAATGTACCCATATAGATGAGGAAAATGTTGTTTTAAAGCCAAAATAGGGCCAAAAACTGCTATACATGCCATAATATATATTCCTTTTATATTACAAATGCTTGAAACACATTTTCGCTTTAAAATAAGTATAAAAAATGAAAATTTAAATAAATTTTGATGTAAACAAAAAAACTCTCTTATCTGAACAACAATAATACATTAATCACTTTTTAAATTGTTGTTTAAGCTTTTGATAGTCCATTAAGTTAAACCTCACGAATAAAGTCGTATTAAGTGAAAATTACGACTTAAATTTTAGTCTACCATAATAGATAACAATATCTCTTCTACCTGGCAATTTCCCAGCTTTAACCAGGGTCTGCCTTACATGCTGTGAATAGTTTTGGCTAATCGCTTTTCCGACCGGCAGCCTGCCTGACATCAACCCTCTTTGGGAATGCATTAATCAGTGATGTCTAAATACTCTTACAAAGTACGTATGACTCGGGAAAATCACATTGGTACTTGCCAGGATCGAACTCGCGTCCTCATGCATGAGAGGCGGGTCTTTTAACCTAGGTCACCACTGACTTCTAGATAAAAATATCTATGAAGAGGTAACTTTATATGGTAGTTTGTAAGTTGGAACCGTAATGATATTGAAGGTATAAAAGTGTACTGGGAACTTTCATCTGATATAACCTATCCATTCAGCGATCAACAAATCCTTTATTTTATCAGAAGTATCTTTACTGTCACTTCGACTTAACGAGCTGTTCAATTTAATTAATTGTTTTAGTTGTTTCGTCAGTTTGAAACGATATTTATCTATACATACATATGTATAATAAAACTGTAGAGGTTGAATTTCTGTACAAAGAAAAAATGCTTAAAACCAAGTTAGGGGGGATAGAGGGAAAATACAAAAAAAATATATATATTTTATTTTTTTGTTTCTGTTTATGGGTTTGTCTGTTTATACAGGCTAATCTTCGAAATGGCTGGAATGATTTCAATGAAATTTTGCATGGTTATATCTTATATACTTTTTATTCCGGAAAACTAAAAGGGTCCCGTGGTATAGTGAAAAACTATAGTAACTTGAACATCTCAGTACAACTTATGTGCTTACATAGATGTCCTTACCTTATGCTGATACTCTAATTTTAATTACATACATAAGATCACGTCTTGATCCCTTGCGGGGAAGACAGAGTCACATAGGCCATAAAACCCTAAAGGCAAAGTTTAGCATATTAGCGTAGTGTAAGTGTGTCTTCGTATGTGTTCATTATCTGTCATGGAAGATAAATGAAAAAATAATACAGGCAGTCTTTATAATCGATGCAGAATAAAAAATATATATTACTAGAATTTTATCTGTAAGTCTGTATGTTTGTGAATGCTTATCTCAGAAAAACTTAATTGATTTGAGTGCGATTTCTATTGCCTCATCTAAAGCTATCCGTTTCAAGATATTTAATATTTTAAGTTTCTATTACTAAAGGTCACTGATGCTCAGGTTATGGGTATGTGTTTTTTTATTTCCAGCATTTAAACTTGAAGTTTTTATTGTTTTTGTATTTAAGATACTCAGAATAGAGTATTAATTACACTAATACTCTAACTACACTAATACTCTAACTACTCTAACTACATCTCGCTCAAAAAAAATATATATATTTGTAATATAACATTCCAACATTCCAAATAACATCTGTTTATAAAGCTACATAAAACGTTACCCATATTATTGCCGCTGCACTATTTACGGTTTGACATAATAAAGATAATGTTATAGTTTATAACTTATGGCATTTTTAGCGTATACAGTTCCCGGTAAGTTTGTGTTATGCAATTACTATAAACAAAGCCCAAGGACAGACGCTATGTGTTGTCGAGTGCAGCTTCGCCCGCGTTTACTATGCCAGTGATGTTACATAGCCTTCCTCGATAAATGGACTATCCTACAATGAAAGACCGTTCAAACAAACTCCCTTATATAATCGTATAGGAAATATTTAGGCATAAATAGTTTTTTTTTTGTATGACGGTTAACTGCATAATAAAATCAAATTAAAATTTAAATAAATTGATCCAGACTAAAACATTAACAAAAGATAATTAGAAGAAACCAAAAAGCAATGAAGAACTAAACATATTAAACAAATTACACAAATAAATGTTTATTATTAATGTAAGTAATAATGATGTATAAATAAAATTATATTTTGATATAAACGCGTTGCTTTTTTATAAAAAAAATATTAAATATCAAAAAGTTTAAATATGATCATAAAACAAGTACCTATGTTTTGAAATGTAGAAAATTACATTACAGCTACAATGCTACCAGCAAGCATATATAATATACATATATAATAAGTACGTTGAATTAAGTTTCAAGATATGCATTAATTTATATATAGAATAACGCGTTAAATAGAGTTTTTAATCTAAACTTTATAGCACTTGTAAATAATTAAGAATGAAAAATATCTCAATTAACAATTTCCTGCAGACGTAAATATTTAATAACAATCCATAAAAAAACTTCATCGACCAATAGTTTCGTAATCGAATAAGTCTTGACTTCTGTCGATACTCAAGCCTTGTTTGCTTTTCTTACTCAACTGAATAACATATGTACTTACATTACGAGTGTAAGCTAATTTTACGAGTGTA